CCCATTATAACCCCCAAATATAACCCCAATATACACGAGGACTCTTCAGGTGGTGTGAGATTGGCAGTGCACACAATGGGCTTAGGGTTTAGGGGCTTGGGGTTGAGGGTTTAGGGAAGTTCAGGGTTCAGAGTTTAGAGCTTTGCGGATTTGATCATTAAATTTATGAATAACCGCTGGTATATACATTTACCCCAAGAAAAATCCCGCGCACGTACTGTCAAGTTGCAATTGTACTCTGTCCACGAAATCTGAATCGGAGTGCTAAAAGCCTAACAACCGGGAAGCCCTAAACCCTCAACTTGAACCCTAAGCCGCAAAAGGGGCCCTAAACTGGAAGCAGACTTCCCACAGGATACCTCGCTGAAGTCGTTGCCACTTCACTAGGTGGGAGCTCAGAAAGGTTCAGGATTTTAGGGTTTAGGGGTTTCGGAGTAGGGGTTAAGGGATTAGGGGTTTGAGGGTTTGAGCGGTCAGGGTTCAGCGTTTAGAATGGTCTCTTCTCTGCTGGGCTTGTCAATGGTGGCACGTCCACTCGAGGACCCTGCGTTCGCGGGGTTCTTAATCATGTCCAGCCGCCGCGCATGTTTGTGGGCCAGGAGACACGGGGGTACGTGTCGCCATGTGGGGCAGCCGCCTGCGACCCGCGCCTAGTGGCGCACTCTGTCTGGATGAGGTTTGCGAGACTCAGCGCTCGAGGACCACACCACGGAAAGTCGCAGTGCAACTAGTATGGACATGTTCAAAAGTGCATCCATGCTACCAGGATAATAACGTTCGTGCGACTAGTACGGACATGTTCAAAAGTGAATCCATGCTACCAGGATAATAACGCTCGTGCAGCTCGTAGGGACATGTTCAAAAGTGAATCCATGCTACCAGGATAATAACGTTCGTGCAGCTCGTAGGGACATGTTCAAAAGTGAATCCATGCTACTAGGATAATAACGTTCGTGCAGCTAGTACGGACATGTCATTCTGAATTCAAGACGGATGTGTTCAGACCATAACCTAGTGTAGACCCATGATTAAGAAACCCCCTTCCTTTTAAGGGCCTCAATGTTAGGACCCCTATTATAGTCTCTATTTTGGATGACGGTTTGTTAATCACGAGTCTGGGTTATAGAGTAGCATAGAGGACAGTAGCCTTCATGGACCTTCGGGTGGGTATAGCCACGGCATGCATGTTTCTTTTGGGAGAGCGAATGCCTCCCGCGGTCGCCTCATAGAACTTATCTTGACGATTTGGGTTTTGGGAGGCTGAGGTTCAAACTCCGGGTTTTCGAGTTCAGGAGCACTGGGGCTAAGCCGTCTTTTTCACATGGTCGTTTCCCACAGTAGGGGTACCCCAACATAGACCTCAAATACTATGGCTCTTATTTTGGGGACCCCCAGGATCCCTACAAGGAGCCGCAGTCGCTCGAGATCCTCGTCCATCAGATCATGTCTTTGGTTGTCCTTCTGTAGACTCCAACCTTGCGGACCGGACCATAGATGTTGATGTTCAACAACACTTGGCGAGTGAGGCGGAGTCGAGGGCGCGCAGCAGTCGCGAGCTGGAGTTGTGGGAGCAGGGCTGCCGGCTTCCTGTGAGCGTACGATTGCAGTGTTTTACAAAGTACGGGCGCTGCCCTGTTCATGGGCACGCGCTGAAGCCTGTGGCACACGCCACAGGGCCTGCAAGAGCCTTCATCATTCTTCGCTGCAAAAACTGGTTCGTGGCGCAGGGTGATGCTCAGGGTTGCTGGCATGCTAAGCGACCTGCCGCGTATCTTGCATGACACTCTACGCAGCATACGCAAGGATATAAGGTGGCAGCTGCAGCATCCAGGGGTTGCAGTCTAGACAAAAAGGTCAATGAGGACTACGTTGCTGGTGTCGGTTGGGAACCTTCATTTCAAGCAATGCGTTCATGCAAGGCCTTTGTGAGGATGGTAGAATTGGTTTAGGGTGTAGGGTTTAGTTTTAGGTGTGAAGGGTTTGGGACTTAGGGTTGAGGGCAAGGTCCTTCAAACACTCCCTGAATCCCTGCGCAATCGTATGGCCCTAGGGTCCCTGTGGAAAATGAGGGTTATCAAGGGATGGTGGACATATGGGTCCTTTTGGTAGCTTAGTAGAGTCCCTACTATATTCCCTAGCAAGGACTCATATTCCTTAGTCATGCGGGAAATGTGGACTGTAGCTCACATAGCCAGTATTTCTGTTTAAATTCTTATTAGAGCGCAGCAAAAAATCCAAAAACAACTCTGGTGCACAACGCCTCAACTCTCAAACCCGAAGTTTAGTTTTCATTGGCATTGGACCATCATATGGTTGACTTCCATACAGTAACCCTAAACCTTCAAACCTTAAACCCTAACCCCTAAAACCCTAAACCCTAAAGCCCTACTCCCTAAGACCCTAAACCCTAAAACTTAATCCCTAAGACCCTAAGACCCTAAGACCCTAAACCCTAAAACTCGAAAACCCTAAGCCCTTAAACCCCAAACCCCTGGCCCCAAAGCTCACTTGCACCCCAACAGGCGGCAGCGAATCTTGAAACTTTTAGAAATTGTTAAATTTACCCGTGCCCCCCATATGAACTATAGCCTAAACTCCCTCAAGGGGTTATGTAGGAGATTATATCGGGACTACTATTGTGCTATTAAGGGGGATGTTAAAAGTTTAGACTATAGCTCATATAGTTGTTAGGGACAAGAAAAATCCCAAACTCTAAGCCGTGGACCTGTAGAGCTCAATCCCAAAACCTTGTTATGGTCCTAGCTTCTTCATATAAATTGTTGGATAGGCCTCAGCATGATGCCAACATGGAATCCTAGAAACCACATCCTAAACCCTAAACCCCTAAACTTTAAATCCTGAAACCTAAGCCCTAATCCCTAATCCCAAACCGAATAGAGGCCTTGCTGGTGCTGGTTTCTGCGCGCCCGGCCCGGGCTTTCACAACGGTGAAGGAGACGGCAGGGGCTTCGTCACGATCAACCACGAGGCGGCTGAGCACTTGATGGCAGTTAGGGCTGTTAGGGTCGAGGGTTTAGGGTTTATGGTTTAGGGCCGAGGGTTTAAGGTTTAAGGTTTAGGGCTTGGGGTTGAGGGCTTAGGGTGTAGGGTTTAGGCTTCGCCCTTGCTTAATACAACCTATATGGGGGTGTTTCCACAGAGGTTCTTGGGCATAAATATAAAATACATACTTACACATATATATATATATATAGTGTCATATTGGGGTATGCAAGGTAACATACAGGGTTTTGGGTTGCTAGCTTTATAGTAAACAATCTTGCATCTCCTTAGTATACAACAGTAACATACTTCTCAGGGTGTGGGATACTTAGGGTCATCCAGGATTCCAGTATGAACCGTATCCTAAACCCTAAATCCTAAAACCTAAATCCTAAACCCTGAGCCCAAAATCCTGAATGCGAAGCCCTAGACCCTAAACCCTAAACCGCCCAACATCCTAAATGCGAAGCCCTAGACTCTTCAAGTTTAGGCTGCAAGGCGATGGCTCGAGGACTTGGGTTGTAGAGTTTAGGTCTTATGACCTCGGCTCAGGGTTTAGGATTTGTCTGGGTAATTTTACTTCAGACTTTAGGGTGAACGCGCCTTTTTGTAGTTTTCTGGGGTGTTGGGCTGGCAAGGGTCACTTCTTTTTTTTTGGGGGGGGGATTGGGGATTAGGGTTTAGGGTTTAAAGGGTTTAGGGTTTAAAGGGATTAGGGTTTAGGGTTTAGGGATTAGGATTTAGGGGTTTAGGGATTAGGGTTAAGAGTTTAGGCTCTTTCTGAGTCCCAAGGTACACGGGTGGCAAGGTCTAGATTCATTTTCGCTTGAGCAATCTTGGGGCTTGAGAGAATTTGGGATCGGTTTTATGGTTCCGGGGTGTGAGTCAGGTCCTTCGACTCCCCAAAAACATTGATGGTATCCCCACAAAATCTATAGGGGGATTTCTGAGGTAACCCTAAACCTTGAACCCCAAATCTTAAACCCTAAACCTTAAACCCCAAACCTTTAACCCTAAATGGCCCCTATACAATCCATTACGGGGGAACCCGGACCTCCCCCCCATACATTTGCTATTATAGGGGCCCAAACTTCCCAGTTTTTTGAGGTCGCCCCATCTGGGGGTACCCTTTGTACCCTTTTGGGTGTCCCTATAATCGTTATGAAAGTATCTTGGGGTCTATTTTGGGAAACTACCATATATGGGCAGGGTACGATTGTTCGCATTGGCTGAGGAGTCAGGGTATCTCGCGCCTGGGCCCTGGGATTTAGGTTCCAACTCCACATCGGTGGGATGAACACGGGCTGCAACACTGGGAAATACACTGACAAACTTTCATATTTTCCTGGTACGAATCTGAATTCATGATATCCTGGCCGGACCCTGCGCAATTCCATCAGTTTCGCTTGCTTTGGGAACAAAGATATATAATCCCTATAATCCCTATGTAGTATATTGCCTTATTCCCCAATAAAAACCAGTAAGTTTCAGAATATAATCCTTATGATACCTAAGTGACATATTCCCTTATTCCCTGGTAAGAATAAAAACCAGTAAGTTTCAGAAAATAATCCCTATGCAGTATATTTCCTTATTCCCTAGTAGGAACCAGTAAGTTCAAGAGGCTGACGTCATCGGGAATCACAATCATGATTTCCACGTGCAGCCGCCCGTGCCTCGGCAGCGAGAATCTGGAGGTCCGGCTTTTGCTGTCGGTTTGGCGAGGGTATATGGGGTTTCGGGTTTAGGATTTAGGGTTTAGGGTTTAGGATTTTTGGTTTAGGGTTTAGGGTTTAGGGTTTAGGATTCACGGTTTAGGGTTTAGGGTTCCTCATAGGAAGACTTCGGTGTCCAACCGGAGCTGCCAAGTAATTATGGAGGATTGGATTTGGGGCTCAGGTTGTAGGGTTTTGGTTCGGCGTTCGGCCTTCAGGATTTTGGCTTGAGCATTTAGAAGCAGGGGTTAGGGCCCCAAACTAAACCCTAAACCCTAAATCCTAAACCCAGCAACAAGCAAAAGGACAATATACTCTGACTCCCTGACTTTGGAGGCTGTAGGTAGGATACTGCCCCCACGCATTCACAGTTGAATAATATTTCTTATATAAGTATGTAAAGCTCTTCATATGACCCTTATTAGAGACGGTTAATGGAGGGGGGCAGGAAAAGAAACTATAGGAACCCCTAAACCCTAAACCCTAAACCACTAAACCCTAAACCCTAACACCATCCAGGTGTACATCGTAGACGGTGGCCTGCTCGTTCTGCCTTGGACTGCGCATTCCATGGCCGAAATGGCTCAACATGTGCTTAAACGCGAGGCCTGCCGGCGGGTTTTGGGGGAGCGTTGTCCTAAGCCCTATAAAGTTTAGGAAGTTTGAGGGTTTACTAATTTAGGGTTTGGCGTGGAAAGTTCAGAGCTTTGTGCGTGGGCTGAGGGCGAAGCTGGCTTGAGGAGAGCGAAGTGAATACGCAGGGAGACTCGCAAGAATTACCTCCAACGAATGCTCAATAAACCTTACTGTTTTTTTTTTTGTTTTTTTTCTCGGGAATCAGGGAATAGATTGTATAGGGGTTATGGAGGGTTTTATTCCTTCTTTCCCTACTCACCACCAGTAAGAAACAGGAGGCACCTGATAACAGTCGGCGGTCTGGATTGTGCAGTACATCCTGCAATGCAGAGCAAGCGCTGTACATTTTGCAGTTGGAAAGTTTAGTGTTTAGGGCTCAGAGTTTTGGTCAAAAAAGGGGGCCCGCAGGCATTGGGTTCTTGTTTTTCCCCACCCTAAACCCTAAAAATCCTAAACCCTAAGCCTTGATTCTTTCAAGAAATCCGCGTGGCCTGGCCATTTCTCCTGATTTCCAGACGGAATTTATGCCTGCGCACAAAGTAGACCTGGCTGCAACACGCGGTATCTCTTCTCAGGGCAATTTGTCCCCGTGCGGCGCAAATCTGTCCCCCCGCCTCCGGCGATGTTGTTGGCCTTCTGGCCAAGTTGAATCGGAATAAGACCCATCTGGAAGATGCGTGCTGAAGGCGTGGCCTCATCGCCTGGCTACAATGCGTTAGGAATACTTGCCGCGATTTCGACTTAGTTCATGATAATGAGCCTACGCAGTGCTTTGGATCTATTTGCTGTGCGTTTGCGCACAGTTCTTGGCGAAGAACGCCAAAAAGCCTGTCACCTTGGGAAGGAAGGAACAGGAGAGAAGTACGATTCTGTGTTGTTACAAAACCGACAAACACACACATTAAGATATATATATATATATACATACATACACAGGATATGGGGCTACAAGCAACAGAGTGCACGGAAGGGTTGCCTGTGAAAAAGCAAGGGCACACCGCCTAACACATTCTTCGTCCGTGATGCATGTTGCAAAATGTCGGGATGCCCAGGCGGCAAGTTCAGCAGAATTTCTTCCATTCCTGACTTGATTAGGCTTTAGGGTTGAGTGTTACGGTTTTGGGTAAGTGTCATGCGAAAGTGGAATCCATGAGGTCAACATGGTTTCAAGGTGTCCATGATCGAGAGTGAAGGATCCAGCTGTACTGGTTTCCTTTTGTTTCCCGGAGATCATGCAGTGATTGAAATTGAAAACACACAGTCCAGACATGTCGCCCGGAAACATGTCAAGAAATGCTCAATGGTCTCCATGAACGTGGGGCCCCCTTGCAGGGTTCGCTTCCGGGAGCTTGCCCAACTGCCGGCTGGATGACCACACGCAGCATTTTGTCACGGGGTGCTGTGACTGCCAAAACCCAGCTGGATCCCTAATGGAGCTCCAAAACCTGCATGCAAAACAAAAATCAACATTGAACTCAAGACACCAAACTCTAAACCCTAAGCCCTGAATCAGGTATGGTGGATTATCCTTTCCAGTATCATATTGGGGTGTATTCATTACTACGGGTTTGGGGCGGTCATTGGTAGGGAGAGGTGGGCACTTGGAGGGTCAGGGAGACTTAGTAAGTAGGTCAATAATCCCTATAGCCCATATAGTAACCCTACTTATCCCCGTTTTTAACCTACTTACTAAGTCCCCCCGACTCTCCAAGTGGGCCCTAAACCCAAAACCCTTAACCCTAAACCTTAATTCCTTAATCCTAAACCCTAAACCCCAAAGCCTAAACCCTAAACCCTAGGGTCTGGAGTTGATAGCAGGATTGGACCAACCTGAATGTTGCAGAGAAGTGCAGCCACGAATTATGCCGACTCTGGTCTCCAGGACATTATTTTTGGAATTTGGGTTTACGGTTTAGGGTTTAGAGTTTAGGGTTTAGGGTTAAGGGTTTTCATAGTGGGGTTATACAGTGAGAATGGAAAATCAAATGGAAACTATTATAGTACATTAGAGTTCTTTTGGGATAATGGAAAATAAAATGTAAACTACTATAGTAGATTAGGGTCTCTCACTCTCTTTGTCTTGTCGGGTTTAGGGTAGGTTAAGCATGTATGGCCTAGCGGTATTAGCCCCAGCAATGGAGAATTACTTGATGGAACATGAAATGGAAGCTGGTGTTGTTTTTTTTTCTCGAGTTCCTTGTGAATGTTGAGTTCTCAGAGGAAGTAACCCCAAAACCTAGACCCTAAGTGAACCACATACCTTCAACCTTAAAGCATACGCCCTGCAGCCCTTAACTGAGGTTCAACTCCTGGTGCCTGTAGACCTACCTAGAGGCTCAGTGGACTTAGTCAGTAGTTTACAGGGGTATACAAGCAAGCTCACCCAAGGTAGGGGAATTACCATCTACTAAGTCCCAGAAGCCTTCACGTGGAACTCCTCAAAGCCCTGCGACTTATACTGCCCGAATGGGCCCTGAGACTCTACCCATTCTTAGGTCCAAAGCAAGAGTGATGAACGTGCATATAAGGTCTCATAGCCCATCCTGGTAATTTAAACTCCAAAACCCCGAAACCCTGCACCTTCATCCCTATAAACCTTAAGCCCTGCACCCTGAGCCCTAAACATTAACCAAAAGGCCTAAACCCTGAGCCCTAGACCCTAAACCCTGCAGTTTTGGACGTAAGGAATCCCTCGGCGCGTCTTTGCGGGACTTCGCTCAAGGCGAGATTGACCGCGAGTCGTTGAGAAAAAGGAGCCAAGGATGTAAGGGGAGTAGGGTTAACGGATTAAGGGTTTGGTGAAAGATTTGTTAGGGTTTAGGGTTTGAGGATTAGGATTCAGGGTTTGGGGGTAGAGTGTAGTGTTTGGTGCCTAGGGTTTTGGGATTTGAGTCAAGTATTTAAGGTGTAGAAATGAGGGTTTAGGGTGTAGGCTTTAGAGATACGGGTTTAGGGTGTACGGCGTAGGGACTGGGCTTTGGGCTGAGATTTAGGGTGTAGGGTTAGGGATTGGGGCTTAAGCGCGGGGTTTAGAGATCAAGGATTAGTGCTTCTGGTGTAGAGACTAGGGAGTAGAGTGTGCAAGGCAGGATGTCGCACTGGCACTTGCTCCGTCGTCAGTAGGGCTGAAGAACAAGAACGCCGTTTCTTGGATTTTTTCAGAAATGAGCGCATTGATCTAAAAGCCCTTCTAGGAAGATTTCCTTAGATGGGCCACCAGTATGGGAAGACATTATCTCGCAAAAGTTTCGCGGTGGTACCGCGAAAGGATTTTTCTCGCGAAAGTTTACCCTAAACCCTGAAAGCCCTAAAGAGTAGTTTCCATCTAATTGTCCATTATCCCCATATATCCCCAACATATCCCTAATACATAACCCTCCAACTTGCATACATGCCTAGGCTCTCAGCTGTGCCGGGCTATGGCTCTCAAGGGCTCTTAGAGGCAGGATGTTCATCTCGTTTGAGAGATAGGGAACATGTAGGGGTATATTGGGATAATGGAAAACAAAATGGAAACTACTACATTATAATAGGGTATATGTGGGGGGTATATTATAACATCTTGCACCTGTTCTGTTTCAATCCCGTCCTTCTCTCGTAGATTCTTTGAAGCCTGGAAGCTTGCACGTGCTAGAAATTCTTTGGGCTTGAAGTATGGAAGACACGGCGCTCATCCGGACTGGCATCATAAGTTTGCTCAACAGTTTTGCGGAAGTTCTGACACTAAACCTTCAGCCCTAAACCCTAACCCGTGTAAGTACCACGTAAGTAGAGGTTACATCCAATGGGCGAGAGCCCGCAGTAGACATGTGTGTACTATAGTTCGGGATGGTGAGCCCAACAGAATTAGGCTTTAGGGTTTAGGATCTAGGATTTAGGGTTTAGAGTTTAGGGTTGAGGGCTAAGGGTTTAGGGCTAAGGGTTTAGGGTTGAGGGTTCAAGATCTTGGACGCGGGGCTTGCGCGTGCAGGTGCGGGGTGCTTTGGGTTGAGGTATGTAGGGAAGGGCTTTGCGAAGTCAGCGGCTTTCCGATCCTAAGTGATAGTTTCTCGAAATAGGGGTCACCCAATATAGACCCCAAATTACTATAGCTACTATAACCCTTCTTATGGGCACCCCCAAAAGGTACCCCTATTTTTGGAAAACCCTAAACCCTAAACCCTAAGCCCTAAGCCCTAAGTCCTAAGCCCTAAACCCTAAACCCTAAACCCTAAACCCTAAACCCTAAGTCCTAAGCCCACCCCTGTACAC